CTCCACCGCATCTATCTAGATGTTAACTAAGTGGCATCGTTCTTTGATTTGGATGTTTGTTTTTTAACATTTGTATTTGAACATTTTTTGGTAGAGTTCTGTGTTTGACGTTTTGCAATTGACGATATGTTGAGCTTAATTTGTATTTAGCAAGAATTCTATTAATTCAATAATTGGAAAACCGAATGTTTATCAAAGAATGTTCATTATCAGTACAAATGATTTTTGTATACAATTATTGACTAGCCCGAAGACGAAACTACCAAATTCCGTCTATCTTGGGAAGCCCATTGGATTGAGACATTAAATACAGCAAGACCTATAGGACAAAATATTCATCATAATGTAGGCATAGCACCCTTTATTGTCCCGTTGAATACAACCAGCAATCGAGCAAGCAAGATAGTTCATTCCCACTATAAGAGCCTTCAAGATAAATTCCCTCATGTCTATTAGCAGAAAATGATAGTTGCATATTCAAAAAATAAGAACTTAAATGATAATATTGTTCATAGTAAACTAAAAACAATCAGTACATAAGAGATACTATACTTCTAGCCCATTGGGCGAGATATTTTTTTCCAATTTCAGATCAGAATAAGAACAAAAGAAAACCCAATATCAAGACCCTTACCTACAATTTCTAAATAAAGTGTCTGTTCCACCCTAGGCCTGTACATTTGGAAGAATCAAACCCTCCATTCCCCGAAATCTAAATCATTCGCAAACGATGTTTATTTTACATTATTTGTATCGGATATTTCTCTCTAACCCTTTGCCATCTTGTATTAAGTGGCCTTTCTTCTTTGTGTTTTTTTACATATCCTTCATGGTAGAATCAAAAATTGTAAATTTGCCATTTTCTCCGATGTCATCCACTCTAGTGGTCATCACTGAGTGCAGTTTTGAGGTTTTGGTCAGTATATCACATTTTGGACACCGAACCGTCAGAGTTGATCCAAAAATCATTTGTGTTTGAAGAAAAGGGAAATTATGTTTAAGTTCGCACTAAATCCCAATTATTATCTATTAACTAAAACAGGCAACGAGACCTTAAACAATGGCTTTTGAGCCTCTTGATACTCTTAGCCTGTTAGTTTTCAACCGAGGTGCTAGGTCATAAATAAAAATTACAGTGTTTTTTTGTACGAGTTCTCTCCCTTGAAGTCGAAATCGACAAAAATAAAAAAAAAAAAAACACAAACAGGGAAAGAAAATCACAAATAAGACAAACACTTGTCATTTCTCGTTGACTGTTCATTAAGGCGGACGGTTTTCGTCTTGTATTTTTCTTTCTTTAATTTTCCTCGCTGCAATTATATGTCAGACATAAATATATTTAAGATGGACGGTTTAGGTATGTCTTTTTAGGTTCTTTCCTCAATTTTCCTCGATGCAATTTTAAGCCGACATAACTATTAATGACTCTAAGAAAACCTGTCAATTTTATGAGACAGTCGTCTCGAATCTGAAGAGACATTTAATGGGGTTCATCGACTAGTGAAAAGTTGGCGATCGTAATTACTGGTCTAAAAAAATGTACAATTTGTCGGAAAGGGTGACGGAAGTCGGGCGGCAACGTCCCAAACTCATTTTTTGAGGGAGTAAACGCGGGATTGTTTCTGAGACGGGGAGAGACAGGGCGGGGCGCTGGTCCGGAGGCAGTCTGAAGCGACGAACGGGGAGGCATCTTTTCCTCAGAAGTTATCTTCTTCCAGCAGTTGTTGCCGATACCTACCCCGTTCAACGGCGTACGCCTTGCGCAGGTTGGCGTAACTGAATGACGTTTCCCAGTTAGTTCGGCCATCGGTCACGGTCTTCTCAACCAGCAAGCGAATGGATAGCCTCGGGGAATAGCAGAAGCTACGCAGTGTGGCCGAGAACAAGATCCGTTCCTCCTTGGCTTTCACGAGCCAGGGAAGGAATACTTTCTCTGGGTTGCATGGGTTAACAGGAACTGCTTGGTAAAGTATCTTGCTGTTTTGCACAGCATATATGTATATACCGTTTCCTTTAATAAAGAAACGGGGGAGGAAGAACAACAGGAACGTAGACGATTAGAGGGTGAAGCCTCTATGCCAGGAGAGGAAGCACGTACAATAGAGGTAGAATCCTCTGTGCCAGTCGAGGGGGCAGGTGCAATAGAGGTAGAAGAGTCTGTGCGTTTCTTTTGTGGTGGTTGGTTTTCTGGCTCGGAAACGGCATCGAGTGCGTTGTTCCTCAGGGGATCGCCCTGGCAAACGGGACAAGTCTTAAGAAAATCGGCGGAAGATTGACTGTCATTATAGTCGGAAAGAATCTAATCTCATCGCCTTGATTGCCTTGATGGCCTTGAAGACAATAATGGGTTGACCATCCCGGAAAAGATCGATGGGTTTGCTTTTGACGTTGGGGCAGCAGGTGCTGTGGTTGATCAGCCGGCCCATCGTCTTGGGAGGCATCTCTGTAGTGCCATTTGTCATCTAAACCGTAAACGGAACTTGATCTTGTAGCCCATGCCACCGTCAGAGCCTCCGTACTTTTCGTCGTTATTTTTGCCGGAGAGATACTGACCTTTTGCGTGTCTCTGCTCCGCAAAACGCCTTGGGGAGAGGGCCTTACTGGCACAAATCGTGTCAAGTCTGTGATCTGACGGCGTTTCGTAGAAGAACCGGGTCATTGGTGAGCTGAAGGAAAGAGGAAGATTGTGTCGGATAGGCTATATTCCGATACAGGGTACTCGCATAACTGGAGATGGTCTGGATCCTAGAGGGTAGACCCTTCAGCTCTGGATACTGCTTAGACAAGAATTGAGCAACTTGAGCTTTCGTGGAGGTCTTGGAATGTCTGGTGCACTCCACGAAATGCTCAGCGTACCTGTGCAGTTTAAGGTCCCTCAGATAGGAGGTAACCTTCTTGATGACGTGTCTGCTTTCCTGAAGCAAGACGCCATGATCGTCGACGCCGCATAGGTACGTTGACGAATCTGCTGAACACGACAGGAAATACTACTGCATGAAGAAGGGGCACGTGAAATAGAGACAGAAGCCTCTGTGCCAGAAAGAGGAGCGGTGGAAGATGGAGCTGCGAAAGCGCCAGAAGTGGAAGGAATGCCAGAACTGTCCTGGGGGGTTGAAACACCAGGGACATTCAAGGCATTGAGAAGACAGTGAACCGTATCCTTGTTTCTGTAGGCCCGTTGAACTGTGGTGTGGCCTCTATAGTAGCGCTTGGCGTGCAGGTCATTTTGGGCAGCCCATACTTCTCTGAAGGCTGTTATCTCCTTACTGAGATTGACGAAAGTTTTTCGGGTGAAGGCCGTCAGGAATGCCAAATAGTCCTGAGTGGGTGTGTTCTGCTGGTGTGCCAAACGTTGCTGGTCATCGTACGACTCCTCTTTGCTGGACATTGTCTTCATTTGGTAATAGAAAGTGTGCAACACGTCCCTGGCGTGTGTGTAGAACATTGGGTCGGTGGTGACGAAATCGCAGTCGTACTGCAAAAACTTACGAAAGTGCTCGAAAGCAGAGAACTCGTTTTTCATGGCAGAAGGCTGTAAGCCATATCCATTTCCGGAGCCATCCAGGTCATTGGCCAATCGGGTGTAGAATTTCCTCATCAAGGGCACGTGTAGAAGAGCTTTGACGTCAGACTTGTCTGCATGCCTGCCTCCTTTTGCACATAATACAAAAGTTTAGCCATATTGCCGACATTGGTGTTGGTGCCTTTGCCGCTTTGGATAGCCTGGTTGCGTTTCAGATACGCAAAGAATTTGCTCAACCATGTGTCGATTGTTTCGTCAGTCTCGGACCAAGCAAACCCTTTGTTGAGGCCGGCGGCAATACGGAGTTTCTTGATATCTCCAACCATTTCCCTTCCTCTATAGGTCAGGGCCTTCAGTTTGGTTTTGACTCTTAGCCTTAGTTAGGGCCCTAATCTCAGTGGAATCAGACTGGTCGTCAGAAGAAGGCTTGGGAGGACGTGAAGAAGGACCCTGACGGGTAGAGGGGCGAGAATCTACGGCAGAATCCGTCGAGGTGACATCAGAGGGGGCAACTGCAGCCCGACTGGTAGAGGGAAGAGACAAGGCTAGTTGGGAAGGTCGGGGCATTTCACTGGCGGGAACTGTCGTCCCTGGGCGGCTTGCTCCTTGACAAGCTAGTGGCCATACCTGTGTAGAATTTTTTCTACGTCCTCGCCAGTGTAAATAGCATCCTCGCCAAAGGATGTCTAGCATAAACAACACGGATGATGGCATTCTGTTCCACCGTTTCCAGTCGGTTCAATTCCTTGGCCTCTGCCAAGTCTTTGCCATGCACACCAACAAAGTACTTTGTCATTTCGGGAAAGAAAGCTGGCTTGGGACACAATTTGCATTGTTTGGTCCCAGGGTTCTTAATCAGAACGTATGCAATGGCGATGAAATAGATAGTAATCAGAGAGAACTGAGATAAGAAACAGGAGGAAATACAAGAGAACTGAGATAAGATGAGAACTGAATGAAACTGCTACGAAAGAGGCAAACTGATAAAGAGTGTGAACTGAGACGAGATAAGATACGATGAGAAAAGTTGAGTCAGAGATGAGATGAATAGAAGTTAGAGCAATAGCAAGCAAATAACATACCATATAGCGTATAACGTGTATACTCCAAGTAACTCACACACAGTGAGGTGAATAATTTGCTTAGTGAAAACAGGGATATATATAGACAGTGGCCCTATGACAGGCGTATGGCACTACACAGATATTTTGGATATTCGAGATAAGCCGTTCACAGAGACAGGGAAACAGGATGTCGGCTGAGAGAGTATTGCTAATGATAATTCGGTGACAGGTCTGGCGGGGCCAATTAGCAACAGGTGTAAAGAGTAGAAGAAAGTATTACCTGGTAGTAGTACCATCGGCTAATCAAAATGATGTCGAATAGCTAGGTAGGTAGATAGGTAGATGACAAGTTAATGTTCGCTTCCAGCGGATGCTGATATCGCAAACTAGGTAGTTGTTGGTAGTCGTAGTAGTTGGTAGTTGGATTGGATCAAATTGGATGATTCGGTGTTGTTGGTTTGGTTGTTGATTCTTCGTTAGATCTGGTCGGGTCGAATGACATGGCGGTGAAACTCGGCCCTGGATGGTGTGGCGTGAGTTACTCGGTCTCCTTCATTCTTCCAAACTCGTTCTGATCATGGTATTTCTTTCTCTAATGTTTCTGCAATGAAACTTGTTAAATTGATTGGATATAATTAAAAAGTGTTAAGAAACTTTGAGTATAAAAACTTAGCCTATCTGTTCATGACAGATTTGGTTATAAAATGGAAGACTAGTTCCATTATCGTATACCAGTGGTCCGTGGGTGGAGCCAAAACATTCTGTATGGTGAGTGGTATGCCGTTGGTTTCCAGGTACTCTAGAAGTGGCTTACGAGCGGGTTTCAGTTCAGTGCATTGAATGAGGACATGCGACCTTGTGGCAACGTGGCCGCAGCGACATTTAATGGCGTTGAACTGATGGTCTCGTAGTACGTTGTTGGTCCGGAGTCTGGTTGCCACTTTGCAGATGGCTACACATGGATGGTTTGGTTTGGTTTGATTTGGTATCTTCGGATCAATCTGGTATCTTGCGGTGTCGAGGTTCCGTAACATGTCTGACCATTTCTGGTTGATCCTAGAAGATACGATACTGCAGAACTCCAAATAGGAGTATTCTACAGGCTCGATATCCTCCAGGAATGGAGACGTGCGATGGAACCCATACTAATTCAATCTTCTGGTCATTGTTGGTTTGGTAGTTGAGGATCATTCTTCTTATTTCGGAAATAACTTCTGACCTGCAATTAGAAGAGGTGAGAAAAATAGATTGGCGTCGTGCAATGATCGTTACTTGATCGAGCTGATGCTCTCTCAATAGATCAGTGACCGCTTGCCCGTAAGAAATACTCCGATTCTTCTGGTTATTTATGGACACGAGTAAATCTTCTGATGCTGGAATACGTCGGACAGCTTTCGGACAAATACTGAAGTTTCCCCCAGAATTTGAGAGATAGCTCCTCCTTCCGAAGAAAGAGGGGTTTCTCTCCCACCTCCTGAAGTAGCGCCTCATTCTTCGTACCTACGGCAGCCCTGGTGGCAATACGTATAGCTTTCATGTGTAGAACGTCGAGTTTCTTCAGTTGAGTATCACTTGCTTTACCATAGGCAATACAACCATAATCAATAACTGAACGAACCAGTGACCTGTACATCATCATTAGAGTTTCTCTGTTTGCTCTCCATGTGGTACCTGAAACATTACGCATAACATTTAAGATTTTTGTAGACCGGTTACAGATATAGTCAATGTGCGTACTCCAAGTCAGACACTTGTCAAAGTGTACTCCTAGTAACCTTACTGAATTCTCATGCTTAATCTTCACACCATTCAGTCTAAGGTCAATACTGTCGTGATCTTTCTTTCTGCTGCAGAACAAACCGACAGTTTTAGCTTCCGAGATAATGAAGCCCCAGTCGTTTGCCCATTTAGCAACTTGGTTCAGAGAGTTTGCATACGCCATTTAACTTTATTGACGTCATTGTGACCAGTCCATATCGAACTGTCATCTGCATATGGAGCCGTGCTAACCGAGAGCTCTATATGCTTTACATAATCCAGGGCCAGATCATTGACCATAATGCTGAAGAGGGTAGGGCTAATAACAGAGCCTTGTGGGGTGCCATTCTCCAACGAGTGCTTCTCGCTGAGAGAATTGGCGACGTTCACTTGTATCTGGCGATCCCTTAAGTCTTGGATCCACCTGAACATGCGACCCCGAATGCCATGTTTATTAAGTTTAAAAAGCAAACCATCAACCCAGACTAAGTCAAAGACCTTGGACAGATCCAGGAATACTGCACTGAAGTAGTTCTTCTTTCCGAGTTGAACGGCCATGTCGTGTTGAAATCGAACGATTTGATCCATTGTTGACCGTTTCTCTCTGTAGCCGCTTTGGTTGGGATCGATAAGACCATTTAGTTCACAGTGGTATCTAAGTCTATTATTGACCATCGTCTCAAATGTTTTACATAGAGTCGAGGTCAGAGAAATAGGCCTGTATGAACTGCATAGACTTTTATCTTTCTGCGGTTTTGGTAGAGGAATGACCATTGCCGTTTTCCAACTTTCCGGAATTGTACCATTATACCATGATTTGTTGAATAATTCTAGTAGAACTGTAGACGCTTCCATTGGTAACTCCTTTAACATGCTGTACTTGATATTATCTTCACCAGTAGCGCTGTCTTTCTTACTGTACAGTGCTTTCTTCAGCTCGTCGAGGGTGAAGGGAGAGTTAAGATCCCGTTCATCCTCTAAGGGCGAATGATGAATTGGAGTGTGGTTGGTGTAGAAGGTCTTCTTGTTCTTTAGAAATTCTTTGGTATGGTTGGTATCGGGACTGCCGTCAGCTTAACTTTTCGCTAACAAATTGGCTTTTCCTTAATTGCTGTATTCTGTGGAATCCCTGTAACAAAGAGTTGGAATGGAAGAATTAGATTTTTTACCAAGCATTGAGTCTATTTTACACCAGACCGATCTTAGGTTGGTCTTCTCATTTAATGAGTGCTTTGTTTGTGATTCACGCAACAGAGCAGCTGTAGAAGCCTTGACCGCTAAGTATTCTGCCTTGGTATAACGGTCCGATTTCCTCTGAAGCATTAGGTCTTTTTAATCTGATCAAAGTATAACCATTGATGATAGGGTCTTTATTCCGTGAACCGAGCTTGGACTCTTGGAGAAAAACGGCATCATACTGCTTCCTTTGTAGTAGCTGTGTCAGTTCGGTCTTTCGTTCAGGTACGTTCAGACCATTGATGTTCAGCTGTATAAACCTGAAATTTAATGTAAAATAATTAGGGGCTTAATGGATCAGTATGGTTTTAGCATGGGGTTTGGGGTGCCGTAAAAACCTCTACGTCTATTTCCGTTACTGAGCCAATGGGCACTGGTCTAGCTAGCGAAGTGCTTCTAGAGCGCTCATTCACGGGCCTGGAGCCTGTACTTCTGCAGATGCTCCTTGACTGACGAGGTTGGCCACGCGTGGATACCGCCTTTACTTTTCTTGGCGTTTCCACTGATTGACCCATTACGTCAGTCTTCGGGCAGTCTTGGGGGCAGCGGGCACAATTCACGCACCGTACCTTCTTGGACTTGCACAGCTTGGTGCTGTGCCCCTCTCCACACTTTTCGCAGCAAACTTTGCTGCGACAGAACTTCTCCAAATGACCCAACTTCTGGCACCTTCGTACCTTAGGGATGTATGGGTGGAGCTGGTAACTGGAATATAGAAGGGGAAGAGGACCATTAGGTACTTTCCCGCTGTCAAAAGTTAGTTGGACAGTCCTTACCCTCTCGAGGTTTGTAGAGGTATAAACCCTCTACAGCGTGATTGTGGAGCTTAAGGTCCTCAAGCATTCACCCACAGAGTACTCGGAGGGGACGCCATAAATGACGACCCGTTCCGTTTTGTTGAAGGTGGACATGACCGAGTCCACCTTCATCCCACACAGTGAGGTTTGGTTGGCAGCATAAACCGCATCTGCCAGGCGCTCAAAGTTCAGCCGCACGTTGCCGTTAGCCAGCACCTTGACCTCCGGAAGAGAGCTATACTTCCACTCTTTCCGGATGAAGTCGCTGATAACCTTCGACTTCGTGTTGCCGAAAATTTTGCCCCCGCTTGGCTTCACTATCACGATATTGGAGTATACCGGCCTTGCTACCCTGGGTTGCATGCTAGCAGCTGGCCGACTCGCAATATCGGCATAGCTAACCTTGGTGGTTTGTTGGGAAGTGGCCATTTTTACTGAAAAGAAGGTTTGATTAGTACAAAAATATGAGAGAAAATACAATAAGAAAGATAAGCTATATCTATCAAGAATGTCTTGCAGACTGTGTAAAAATTGATAGTTTAAAATGAAAAAGAGAACAACGAAACAAAACGAAACCTAGTGAAAGCTTTGTAGGACAGCTTGAATTTCTTCCGCCAAAGAAATTGTCGGCCGCCCAAAGAAAAGATAAAAGAAAAGAATAAAAAGGAACGAACTCACAGTAATTAGTGGCAGGTGTCAAAAGTTAATTGAGTAATACTTAATTGATACTTGACAGTAATCCGCTAATCCACTTTCACCAATCCAGACTAGAGAGAGAGCTAATTAGTTGTTCACAGCACGAGTGTCGAACTAATTGCTACCAGAACCAGCAACCCAGAGAAGATTATTACAATAAAAGTTGATTGGCATCTACCTGTTAGATTATACATATATATCTTAGAGAACTATAAATAATATTGACGAGGATAGGATCGAAAGGTGTTTGAACTGCCAAGCGCGGACTTGATAGTGAGCATGAAGCTTTCGATCCTATTTTCGATCATAAAATGTATACATATGAATTATGTAGAGTGAAAGTTTTATTTCATTTCCAATATCACAGTAAATTGTAAAAATAGTAAATTATATAAAGGGTGTATATGAAATTATGTCGAATAAAAATAATTATCACTAATATGTCTATATTAAGGTATCACAGATAATGAACATAGTTTGGATGAAAAATAGGATCGAAAGCTTTTCAACTATAAGCGCGGACTTGATAGTGAGCACGAAGCTTTCGATCCTACTTTCAAGTCAAATTCTATCACAGTTTTATAGTAGAAATATATTATGAAAAAGGTGGATATATTTATACAATATAATTAGGTATAAATAAATTAGGATTATGAATCTAATAAAAATTAAAAATGTTGTAAAAGTCAATAAATTATATGATTGTGACCTCGTGACTGATAGGATTTTTCACGAAGCGACAGAAGCTATCCCGCAATTTCTTCAGGTTTTTACATTGAACAAACAGATGTTTGAGGGATTCGACTTCCACTTCACAGAATTTGCATTTCAGATCAAAATCTGTGGATCTGCGAACCCTCAAAAAGGATTTTGTAGGCAGGGCCGAATGTACAACGAGAAACAGTAAGTCTTTTTCCCGAAGATTTAATTTTGAATTATGAATATTGCCAAAGATAGACTTGAAGTTGATATGTCTGTTTTCTCGTTGTATTTTGGGTTCAATTTTAAGGTTCTGAATGAGTGCCAAATAGATGTCCTTTGATGTGGTTTTTGAGGTAATTTTGAAGCCTAATTTCCGAAAGTTCGTCAAGAGAGATTTATAGGACGGGTGTATGTTCAAAGTCATTGTTGGCTAGCTTCTGTCGCGGTTATATTCTCTGAGGGCGGGGCCTTTCCGTTAGTCAAATGACTTGGATTCGTATACAACCCTTTATTATAATTTGTTGCCGAATGGCAACATAACAGAAAAGTGACCTCTGACCTCTTATTCCATAATCATAATGTTTATATTGATATTAGCCTGTATTTGCAACATTGTTCTAATACTATATTTATATTTATTGGGGGAAAGTGGGAATTTCCCTTTTAGCACATGGCTGACTTATTTGCAGGTTTCGTCTGCCTGACAAAAAGTGGTAAGTTACTCATTTTTAATAAAAGACCCTTACTATGCCTGTTTTCACACACAATATTTATTGGGCTTCTGCAGTAGGGATTTGGTACCGAAATCAATTTTGTAGATTTTTCATAACATTAAAATTTTGGTAGGTAAAAAAATTACAAAATAGTTGTTGCCAATTGGCAACAAAGCTATGCAGGATATTCAATTTATGGAAACGTGCAGGTATTACAACCTCTCTGTAAGGAACCTCTTCATATCAAATATGTTTTTTATGTATTAGAAATGTTTTGCGATTAAAACAGAATGGTTGAGATACATGTTAGGTGATTCTTTATTACTCTTATTATTTCTGCAGTGAGATTTTATTGTTTCAGAATTCAAAAGCATATCGGAAGATCAAGTTGATGCAGATTTTCGTCCAGAGGCGCAATCAGATGATGATAATGACCAGGATGATTTGTATGATGATGAGCCTGCTGGGGATATTGAATCTACTACATCCAAGCAAAAAATGACACCACTTGTTAACAAATGGACTTGGACCAAGACCAAATTGATTCCTGGTGAAATTGACAAGGATATACAATTTACTACAAGTGATGATGAATTAACTCCACTGCAGTATTTTAAAACACTTTTTGATGATGAAGTTATAGATTGTATTGTAGATCAAACTAACTTGTATTCTGTTCAAAGATCAGGTATTTCCGTAAATACAACCAAAAACGAAATTGAATGTTTTGTATCAATATTGCTATATACAGGCTTTGTAACATGTCCATGTTATTTAGATTATTGGTCATATGAAACCAGATTTGCACCAATTGATGACGGTATGTCATTGAAACGATTTCAGAAATTAAGAAGGAATATTCATTTTAACAACAATTCTATGGCAGAAACCTCGACAGATCGTTATTTCAAAGTTCGTCCCATCATGAGCAAAGTGCACACTAATGTTTTGGCCATAGAGCCCGAAGTCCAATTCTCTATAGATGAGATGATGATTCCTTACAAAGGCAAACGCGCTGGGAATTTGAGGCAATACATCAAAAGTAAACCCAAAAAGTGGGGTTTCAAATTTTTTACGCGTGCTGGTGTATCGGGTATGATTTATGATTTCATAGCATACGCTGGATCAAGCACATTTGATAATAATTGCTTTAATGCAGAGGAAGTGCTATTAGGTCTTGGTGGTCAAGTTGTGGTTTCCCTATGCCAATCAATAGCAGATCCTCAAAATTCCAAGGTTTATTTTGACAATTACTTTACAAGCTTTGAATTAATTAAATACCTAAAAGTTAATTTTGAAATTTATTGTATTGGCACATTGCGTGCCAACAGGAAAAGAAACTTATCTATAACAGATGACAAGGTACTTATGAAAAAGGGTCGTGGCAGTTATGACTATAGGATTGACCAAGCAAATGGCATCACGGTCGTAAAATGGTACGACAACAAAGTCGTAACACTTGCCAGTTCATATGCTGGGGTGGAACCAGTTACTACAGTCGAAAGGTACAGTAAAGTTTCCAAATCTACCGAAAAAGTACCTGCATCAAACATTATCAAGCAATATAATGTTCATATGGGTGGGGTTGACCTTGCAGATATAGTACTAGTTTTCCCTGTACAGAACCAGTCTGAAAACAAAGCGCTGGTATCTCAGGGTATTTGGTCAACTTCTTGACATGTGTGTGAACAATGCATGGCTCCTGTACAGGAGAGATCACAATAAAAACACATATATGAGTCTGAAGAAGTTTAGGGGACAAATTGCATTTGGACTGCAATTTGCGGGCAAGGTTCCAAGAAGAGGCAGGCCTTCCCTAGAAGATAGCGCCCCTCCGCAGTCTAAAATAAGACGTTTTGTAGTCCCCAGACCCTTAGCGGATAGCAGATATGACCAGGTCGCACATTGGCCTGTGCATGAAAATGACAAGGGAAGATGTCGTCTCTGTCCAACCGGGTATTCGCGATACAGATCGTGTCGCACAATGTTTAACAAAGACAGGAATTGTTTTATGTCTTTTCATACCAAGTAATTTGTGTTGACTTTCTAGTTTTGTGGTTAATGCTCAATGATAGCTTCCTACATGTGTATCCATGCATCATTTATGCATATATTTATACCTTATCTTGAAAGAATCAATTTTAAAATGAATTTGATGGGCTTGATTTAATGTCTAATTAAACTTGATATACCATGTTTTTTTCAGTATTTCATCAATTTTTACGAATTAAAACTTATTAATATCTATGCCTTACTTTTTTCATTTAGTTTGTTTTGGGGATGATTTGCCAAAATTCTTAACCTTAATTTGCAAATGATGCCAAATGGCAACAATTCAGAAAAGGGTGGGGTGGGGCAAAACAAAATTTTTTCTTGCATTTTTTAAAATGATGTCCTATAAGTATACTATATGCCAAAAATTAGAATTTTTCAATGATAAAAATATGTCTTGCCAAATAAAGGGATAAGGCCTTTCTCTCCAGCTATTCACAAGAGCATTCGTAACCATTATACCACCAGACTACATTAAAGTAATAATATATGTTATCCCCCTAACAAAATGGCGACACTTCTGTCGAATAAGTTAGTTTGCTGAATTTTAATGGAATGGGAGAGTCAAGTGATATTAGTGCAAATATCCTTATTCATATGGCCGGTTTTGAATACAGCTTGATTTTCAGTCGCCTGGCTATGTTCAAAACCGAGCTACACATTCTTCCGATACACGCCTGGGTCGATACAAACTTCTTCTGATGGTGTACAAATGTTAAAATAACCATTAAAATTATCAGTCATGTATTGATGTTGTCAGCTAACGGTTGTGAAAATAATTGGGTCAAAATTGCATAGAAAAAACAAAACAAATTCCGGCTGATTTATTTTTAAAATATAACTAAATAGTAGTGGGAGTATGTTACTTTGTCTGGCAACCCGGTTTCCCCCTGTCAGTGATGCAGGTAAGAGGGGCTGACATGGAAAAAGCGTCTAGTCGTTCGGATGGGACAATAAACCGAGGCCCCGTGTGCTACAGGCTATGCACGTTAAAGATCCCTCGACAGTTGGAAATCGAAAAAGAGCAGGCTAATGCCGCTGTCCTGGCAAAATTTCCCTCATGGCACCCTGCATGGCGTTGCCCGTCTTCATTATCCCACAAGGTGCAGAAGAGTAGGACGTAAAACTCCATTTCATTTTTGTCTGGCAAGCCATCTTTTATTATAATGTTGATAAACTATGTTGTTTATGTTCTGCAAGTAGATAATGGTAGGAAAAGGATTAAAAAAAAAACCTATGATGAATTCAAAGAAGAAGCACTTGGAAATGTACATAATGATGAAGATGTTAAAAAATCAAAAAAATTTAATTAAATTTCTCTGTCAGTCGATGGGAGAAAGTTGTGTGCTTTTCTCCTCAGAAGCTCAAACTTTTGTTAAGCAGAAAAACTACAGAGTCCAGTTAAACTTTCTCAATTAAAGTAAGTTATTAAAATTTTATTCAGCAGAAGAGATCTTTATAGCCACAGGCCCGGAAGTATTTCATTCGAAATATGGCACAAAAATTAATAACTGACAGTTATATCATAACAAAGGCTACATCCTATGGTGATGAATCGTACATGATCAATGAAACACCCGAAGTAATTTGGATTCATCAAGTTTCATTACTTTGAACCATTCAATTGAGCTGTTTAGATTTAACAAGTTGAATAGAGACAATCATGAAAC